ACCTATGGGGTCACACGACATACCTTTTCGGCCTTGGTCAAAAGTGAGTGCAGACCTATTTCAACTAAATGGCAGCAACTACCTCCTCCTGGTGGACCACTACAGTGACTGCTTTGAACTCAAGCCTTTGCAAAACACATAGGCTAGCACAGTCATACAAGCCATGAAAAGAAATTTTGCCCGATACGGAATTCCAGAGGAATGCATTACTGATAACGGTCCAAAGTTTGTCAGCCATGAGTACTCGCGTTTCGCTCGCGAGTGCGGGTTTACCAGTCCAAAATCGTCACCCTACCACAGCCGAGGAAACGGAAAGGCAGAATCGGCAATTAAGATTGTCAAGAATATGTTGAAGAAACTACGTAACGAGGACCCGTACTTAGCTCTCTCAGCGTACCGAAACACGCCCTAACATGGCTACAACTATTCTCCTACTGAGTACTTGATGTCCCGAAAACTTCGGGACATTATCCCTGCAGCTACTAGTCAGCTCGTCCCAAAGCTAGCATGTCCCAGGGTTGTGTAAGAAAACATTGCAGAAAAGACAAATAGGTCAAAGGTGCAGCACGACAAGAAGGCACTAACCCCGCTTAGAGTGTTCAGAGAAGGAGAAAAAGTGTACCTCAAACCCCGCCCCACAAACAGGTCTCAACCAGGGATCCATGGGGAGGTAGTAGAAAAGCCCACACCAAGGTCCTGCGTGGTCAAAACAGTGATGGGACCAGTTCGCCGTCATCGTTGCCAAATCAGGAGAGCGAAAGCAGAGCCAGCTGATGGATACAGCATAGTGATAGACCAGCTTGAAATCGCATCTACGCACTCAGAGCAAGAACAGGAGATACAACCTCCAAACGCTGACTCAACAAGAGAAACAATGCCCAGCACACCCGGAATCGAATGAGAAGACACGTTACCTGCAACGATAGAATGTGGACCGCGCCGATCACAACGCGAGCGTAGAATGCCCTCAAGATTCAGAAACTATGTAATGTAAAAAACTGTTCTTATAGAACTTGTTTCGGAGACTACGTCAAGTCGAGACTATTTTAATAGGACTGGTTTTCTTTGCTTTCTTTTTGCTTGTTTTTTGTTTGCGTGTTTTTATTTAAAAGGGGGAGGGTGTTACTTAACTATGTATCACATGCTTCGTTGCACCAACATATATAACTATATTATTGCACGGACCTTTGTATACTTTACACCTTTGCACACCTTGTACATATTAAGTGATTTCCATGCATTAAATATTCAGTTTTTGGACATGTAACAAAGACGTTAACAAAAATGTTCTCCTCCAGGTCACCAGGGTTTGGGATCTCATCAGTTGCAGAATCAACAACTGGTGCCATGCCAAGTGTTCAGACATCATCTACCTCAGTAGGGTGGGTCAGCCAGTTGTCCCTGAGGATTTTGGCAAACAGGTAACTGAAATGTTACTTGAAGAAATTTTCAGGGTAATTACAATTTTTTTTTTCATAGTGAAGCAAATTTCAATTGGGTGTTGAAATTAGTGCAGGATTGCTTTGGTTCACCTTTAATATACCTCACTCTGTGATTGGTGTAGAAAAATCACATTTGTTTGTCAACCAATCTGATTAAAAGGCAATTTTGATTTATTGGCCTGTGATATGTTCCTTTGTTCTGATTGTCTGCTGTGATTGCTTTATTTTGGATTTAAGACACTCAATCAAAATGCACTTCATTAAGGGCTCTTGGATGATGATCAGCCTTACATTCATATTAGCTTTTAAAACAATGATTTAAAGTACAGCTGTATACTCTGAAATGAAACACACCATCATTATTTATCTTTCTCCTCTCATAGGGAGGCTGTGCTGACTCTCACCATCAGAGTGTTGTTCTCCTTTACATGATTCTGGGACAAAGGGATATTTCTAAAATTCTCACTGGCCCACTGTAGTAGTTGATAATGTCTCTCAATGAAAATACAAAATAAATTCACACATTTTCTGTTTGCTGGAGTTATGATCTGTTGTGAGCTGTTTGGAAAGATGTTTTTTAACTGCTTGGCATCAGTCTGGCTCTCATTCAATTGCAAAAAAGAGAGAAGGGTAAAGGAGGAGAAACAGAGGGAGTGAAAAAGATAGAGGGAAGAGGCGGTGTTGGGAGTATGATGGAAGGCACAGAGGAGGGAACAGAGAGGCAGTGGGAGGGAGGTAGTGGGAATAGAGAGAAGCATTGTTGGGGAGGATAGGGAGGGCACAGAGGAGAGGAATGAGGGGGCAGGAGGAGGGAGAGAAATATAAAGGAGTGAGAGAAACAGAGAAGGAGAGGAGATGATGAGGAAGGAAAAGATGAAAAAGATAGGACAGACAGAAAGAAGGAGAAAGACTGGGTGGCAAGGAGGTGAGGTATAGAGGATGGTTGGAAATGAAGGTGAGTGCAGCTCAGATAAAGAGGAATGGGAAGAGGGAGAGAGGAAAGGTAGAATAGATGATAGGTAGAGAGGGAAGAAGGGGAGATGATGAGGAAAGGAAGGAGATGAAAGAGAGGTGACAGACAAAAGAAAGGTAGGGAATGGGAAGCAAGTGGGAAGAAGGGAGGTAAGGAGAATGATAAGGAGGAAGACAGGAAGGGAGGAGGCATGGAGAGGGACGGGAATGGAAGGGAGATAGAGGGAATGATTCGAAGGGAGGGAAAAAGGGAAGATGAGGAAGGGATTGAGGTTGACAAGAGATGAGAAAGGAAGAAATGAAGGCAAATGGAGAAGAGTAAGTGGGGAGAGAAGGTTGGGCTTGGTGGTGACACAGTAGGTTCATTATCAATGTTATTGTTTTCTCTCCACTCTGTAATTTTTTTAGAAATTTTCTTAATACTATCATCAACTCTTTTACATCATTCAATTTTTGAGGCATCTGAAGGAATTTTTTGGAGTGTTGTTCAAAATACAAGCACAACAGAGTGATGATGACAACAGTGTAGCAGGGGGAGAGAGTAAAATCTTGCTATCATGTGTAGGAGCTGGATACACGAAGATCAACAAGACTATGGGGTAGAAAACTAACAGTAGAGGGGTCAGGGATATTGAGACCTTGATTCTGCAACTAGGGGACTTTTGTCTGTGCATTGCTGTAACTGTGAGTCTGTTCAAGATGTCTGGAATGCCTCAAACCTTATGTGCTGGTTTCCATTTTAAGTAATCGAAGTCGTTTGTAAAGAAATTTTTTTCTCGCATTTTTTATTTCCGTAACCTAAAATACATGTTCTAAAATTTGTAATGAGAAAAATGTCATAGGCTGAGACAGGGTCTGAGAGATGGCGATTTAATTATTTTTTCATATTATAGAGTGAATGTAAACTTGTCTTTATCTCAAATAAATTCATATTGAGACATAGAGTGTTTTTAATGGAGTTCTATTTTATTTGTAAAAACTGTAAGACTAAATGCTTCGTTTTAAGGTTACACAAAATCACTTAATTTCTTGTGAATCCAAGTCACCTTTCTTCCAAGAGGGACCAGGGTTTACTCTCGTACATAGGTTAAAAGGGAAGGGGTCCCTCAGCTGGGTTTTATCATTAAAGGGAGTAAGTTACTAAAGAAACTGTGGTGCTGTGTCGGTGAGGGAGTATAAAAAGATAATTAAGCTTTATCAACTGAGTTGTTAATGTAAATTGGCCACCGTAGAGAGTTTCTAAGCGTTAGCCCTTCGTCGCTCTGACGAGAAATATAAATTTACAAATGTTTTTTGTTATCTTCTCTTTTGATAAATGATTGACACGCTTTCGACTATTACGCAAACTAGAATTTTTTTGGTATATAATTATGATGTTTTAATCGGGCGTAGATCGAGCCTAAAAGGCTCAGCGGTGTTTCTCCTACGCATGGTAAGGGAAGTACCACACCCACACCAACACCGCATCGCCCCCCCCAAACAACTGCGCTTTTCACCAATTAAACTTAACGTCATTGATCCCGCTAATACAGTTGCGCAGTATATACTCTACTGCTTGACTTGATGTTCTACCCTTAACAGTTTTGATCTTCAAGTGCGCAGCTCAGATAGAGTCGCCCAGATACTTCTGTCCTACTCTAAATCATTGCTCTATTTGCGTGCTTCTCCACGAATAAATCAACTCATTTGCAAGGACCGCCAGAAAGATTGAAAAGCTGACAAGAAGTGCCATGAGGAAAATTGGGTTACTCCGAGACAAAAGTAACATTGAGCTGTGTCTGGGTGTTTTTCCCCGAAGAGTTTAATACTTATGTCAAGAGCACGCTGATTGGACTGAAGTGCTGAAGAGAAGTCCCCTATTGCATGCTGGGTTACTCCGAGAGAAAGGTAACTTTGCGCTGTGTCTGGGTGTTCTTCCCCGTAGAGTTTAACTCTTATGTCAAGAGCACGCTGTTTAGACTGAAGTGCTGAAGGAAAGTCCCCTAAGGCATATTGGGTTACTCCGAGAGAAATGTAACTTTGAGCTGTATCAGGGTGTTCTTCCCCGTAGAGTTTAACTCTTATGTCAAGAGCACGCTGTTCGGACTGAAGTGCTGAATGGAAGTCCCCTAAGGCATGTTGGGTTTCTCCGAGAGAAAAGTAACTTTGAGCTGTATCTGGGTGTTCTTCCCCGAAGAGTTTAACTCTTATGTCAAGAGCACGCTGTTTGCACTGAGTTGCTGACGACAAGTCCCCTGAGGCATGTTGGATGACTCCGAGAATATGGTAACTTTGAGCTGTGTCTTGGTGTTCTTCCCCTAAGAGTTTAACTGTTATGACAAGAGCACGCTGTATGGACTGAACTGCTGACGACAAGTTCCGTGAGGCATGTTGGATGACTCCAAGAGAAGAGTGACTTTGAGCTGTGTCTTGGTGTTCTTCTACTAAGTGTTTATCTCTTATGTCAAGGGCACTCTGAAAGGACTGAAGTGCTGACAAAAAGTTGCCTGAGGCAAGATGTGTTAATCCGAGGTTAAAGTAACTTTGAGCTGTGTCAAAGTATTCTTCCCAAAGGAGCTTCAGTTTTATTTCAAGAGCATGATGATCAGCCTGAAGTGCTGAAGAGAAGTCCCTTAAGGTATGTTGGGTTACTCCGAGAGAAAGGTATGTTTGAGCTGTATCTGGGTGTTCTTCCCCGAAGAGTTTAACTCTTATGTCAAGAGCACGTTGTTTGGACTGAAGTGCTGAGGAGAGGTCCCCTAAGGCATGTTGGGTGACTCCAAGAGAAAAGTAACTTTGCGCTGAGTCTTGGTGTTCTTCCCCAAAGAGTTTAACTCGTATGTTAAGAGCACGCTGATTGGACTGAAGTGCTGAAGAGAAGTCCCCTAAGGCATGTTGTGCTACTCCAAGAGAAAAGTAACTTTGAGCTGTGTCTTTGTGTTCTTCGCCAAAGAGTTTAACTCTTATGTCAAGAGCATGCTGATCAGACTGAAGTGCTGAAGAGAAGTCCCCTAAGGCATGTTGTGTTACTCCGAGAGAAAAGTAACTTTGAGCTGTATCTGTATGTTCTTCCCCGAAGAGTTTAACTCTTATGTCTAGAGCACGCTGATGAGACTGAACTGCTGACGACAAGTCCCCTGAGGCCTGTTGGGTTACTCCGAGACAAAAGTAACTTTGAGCTGCATCTAAGTGTTCTTCCCCAAAGAGCTTAACTCTTATGTCAAGAGCACGCTGCAAGGACTGAACTGCTGAAGAGAACTCCCCTAAAGCATGTTGGGTCACTCCAAGAAAAAAGTAGCTTTGAGCTGTGTCTGGGTGTTCTTCCCCGAATAGTTTAACTCTTACGTTAAGAGCATGCTGCAAGGACTGAATTGCTGATAAATAGTCGCCTGATGCATGTTGGGTTACTCCGATATTGGAGTAACTTTGAGCTGTGTCTAAGTGTACTTCCCCAAAGAGCTTAACTTTTATATCAAGAGCATGCTGCAAGGACTGAACTGCAGAGGAGAAGTCCCCTAAGGCATGTTGGGTTACTCCGAGAGAAAAGTAACTTTGAGCTGTATCTGGGTGTTCTTGCCCAAAGAGTTTAACTCGTACGTCAAGAGCATGCTGATCAGACTGAAGTGCTGAAGAGAAGTCCCCTAAGGCATGTTGTGTTACTCCGAGAGAAAAGTAACTTTGAGCTGTGTCTTGGTGTTCTTCGCCGAAGAGTTTAACTCTTATGTCAAGAGCACGCTGATGGGACTGAACTGCTGGCGACAAGTTGCCTGAGGCCTGTTGGGTTACTCCGAGAAAAAAGTAAGCTTGAGCTGCATCTTGGTGTTCTTCCCCAAAGAGTTTAACTCTTATGTTGAGAGCACGCTGCAAGGACTGAACTGCCGAAGAGAACTCCCCTAAAGCATGTTGGGTTACTCCGAGAGAAAAGTAACTTTGAGCTGTGTCTGGGTGATCTTCCCCGAAGAGTTTAACTCTTATGTCAAGAGCACGCTGATGGGACTGAACTGCTGACGACAAGTTGCCTGAGGCCTGTTGGGTTGCTCCGAGAAAAAAGTAAGCTTGAGCTGCATCTTGGTGTTCTTCCCCAAAGAGTTTAACTCTTATGTTAAGAGCACGCTGCAAGGACTGAATTGCTGAAAAATAGTCGCCTGACGCATGTTGGGTTACTCCAAGAGAAAAGTAACTCTGAGCTGTGTCTAAGTGTTCTTCCCCGAAGAGCTTAACTCTTATGTCAAGAGCACGCTGAAAGGACTGAACTGCAGAGGAGAACTCCCCTGAGGCATGTTGGGTTACTCCGAGAGAAAAGTAACTATGAGCTGTGTCTGGGTGTTCTTCCCTGGAGAGTTCAGCTATTATATCAACGGCACTCTGCAAGGACTGAAGTGCCGACAATAAGTCGCCCAAGGCACGATGTGTTAATCCGAGGTTAACGTAACTTTGAGCTGTGTCTAAGTGTTCTTCCCCAAAGAGCTTAACTCTTATGTCAAGAGCACGCTGAAAGGACTGAACTGCAGAGGAGAAGTCCCCTAAGGCATGTTGGGTTACTCCGAGAGAAAAGTAACTTTGAGCTGTGTCTGGGTGTTCTTCCCCAAAGAGTTTAACTCGTACGTCAAGACCGTGCTGATCATACTGAAGTGCTGAAGAGAAGTCCCCTAGGGCATGTTGGGTTACTCCAAGAGAAAAGTAACTTTGAGCTGTATCTGGGTGTTCCTCCCCGAAAAGTTTAAGTCTTATGTCAAGAGCATGCTTATTGGACTGAAGTGCTGAATAGAGGTCCCCTAAGGCATGTTGGGTTACTCCGAGAGAAAAGTAACTTTGAGCTGTGTCTGGGTGTTCTTCCCCATAGAGTTTAATTCTTATGTCAAGAGCACACTGTTTGAACTGAAGTGCTGAAGAGAAGTCCGCTAAGGCATGTTGGGTTACTCCGAGAGAAACGTAACTTTGAGCTGTATCTGGGTGTTCTTCCCCGAAAAGTTTAAGTCTTATGTCAAGAGCATGCTTATTGGACTGAAGTGCTGAATAGAGGTCCCCTAAAACATGTTGGGTTACTCCAAGAGAAAAGTAACTTTGAGCTGTATCTGGATGTTCCTCCCCATAGAGTTTAAGTCTTATGTCAAGAGCACACTGTTTGAACTGAAGTGCTGAAGAGAAGTCCGCTAAGGCATGTTGGGTTAATCCGAGAGAAACGTAACTTTGAGCTGTATCTGGGTGTTCTTCCCTGAAAAGTTTCAGTCTTATGTCAAGAGCATGCTTATAAGACTGAAGTGCTGAAGAGAGGTCCCCTAATGCATGTTGGGTTACTCCAAGAGAAAAGTAACTTTGAGCTGTATCTGGGTGTTCTTCCCCGAAAAGTTTAAGTCTTATGTCAAGAGCACGCTGATTGGACTGAAGTGCTGAAGAGAAGTCCCCTAAGGCATGTTGGGTTACTCCGAGAGAAAAGTAACTTTGAGCTGTATCTGAGTGTTCCTCCCCGAAAAGTTTAACTCTTATGTCAAGAGCACGCTGATTGGACTGAAGTGCTGAAGAGAAGTCCCCTAAGGCATGTTGGGTTACTCCGAGAGAAAAGTAACTTTGAGCTGTGTCTGGGTGTTCTTCCCCAAAGAGTTTAACTCTTATGTCAAGAGCATGCTGATCAGATTGAAGTGCTGACGAGAAGTCCCCTAAGGCAAGTTGGGTTACTGCGAGAGAGAGGTAACTTTGAGCTGTATTTGGGTGCTCTTTCCCGTAGAGTTTAACTCTTATGTCAAGAGCACAGTGTTTGGACTGAAGTGCTGAAGAGAAGTCTCCTAAGGCATGTTGGGTTACTCCGGGAGAAAAGTAACTTTGAGCTGAGTCTTGGTGTTTTTCTCCCAAGAGTTTAACTCTTATGTCAAGAGCACGCTGATCGCACTGAACTGCTGACGAGAAGTCGCCTGAGGCCTGTTGAGTTACTCTGAGGAAAATGTAACTTTGAGCTGTGTCAGGGTGTTCTTCCCCAAAGAGTTTAACTCTTATCTTAAAAGCACACTGCAAGGACTGAAGTGCTAATAAATAGTCGCGTGATGCAAGTTGGGTTACCCCGAGAGAAAAGTAACTCTGAGCTGTTTCTGGGTGTTCTTTTCCAAAGAGCTTCACTCTTATCTCAAGAGCACGCTGCAAGGACTGAAGTGCTGATGAGAGGTCGCCTGAGGCATGTTGGGTTACTCCGAGGTTCAAGTGATTCTGAGCTGTGTCTGGGTGTTCTTCCCCGAAGAGCTTAACACTTATGTCAAGAGCACGCCGTTTGGATTGAAGTGCTGACGAAAAGTCGCCTGAGGCATGATGTGTTAATCCGAGAGAAGAGTAACTTTGAGCTGTGTTACACTCTCTCTGATGGCCAGTGAAGCGTGGAACCTTTGGAGGAAGATTTGATGGCGGGAGGAATGGCTTTGAACCTTAAAAAAAGCAAATTGATACAATCATGAAAGAGCTCATGTCGGTATTTTAAAGAGCAAATAAAAATGATCATGTAAAAGGATACAATTTACAGTAAGAATAAAAATCTAGAAAATCAAGTTTTATGGAAACAGCTCTAATCATGAGCTTCGTGCATTTTTCCGTGAAGTTGTAATATTAACAACATCCCACAAGAGTCACAATGCCCGTAAATATAGTGGATGCAGAAGAAATTCATCTTAGGGAAGAATAAAGGATTTTTAATACATGTACAAAGCATTTTTGCAAAAACTGGAAGTTACCCCGTTGAACTATTACTAGTTAAGTACAGAGTAAAATTGCTGCTGTCTCTAAGTTGTGTTTATAAGACTCTGCCACACTGCATCTTAAAATTGCTGTTAATCTAAAAATCGTGTACAGTTTTTTAATCAGTTTACATCTGTTTGATCTTGATTCATCTTCACGAGAACTATACTTGCGATTGAGAGTATCTGGGTGACCAAGAATGACGAGGGTGGGAGTTAAGCCCTACTGTTGCTTGAACTCTGCTTCACACTGGCTTCCATACTCTCACCGTCATTCTATTTTAGCTTCTTTGCTTCTCTCACCCTTATATTGTGTTGGGCAAGTCGTATCAACTCTTCCGGGGTATTTTTTTGCTTTAGTCTCTTCCTCAGTCGAAGTGAGCTGCTGTTGAGGTACTGGTTCCCCTGGTTCATTGTCAGCAAATTTATGTCTGGATACATGATTTGCAGGCACTTGCTCAAGTCCTTGTGTAGTACCTCTTAATTACCTGTCAGGTCCCTCTTTAGTCCCAGTCAGGTACCTGCTCAAATACCAGTCAAGTTCCTCTCAAGCAACTGTCACCCACTCTTGAGTGACAAGAGCTTCACCCCTTCCACATCTGTACTCAATACTGTCAACGATCATTAGACTATTCTTGATTCCCTAGGTAAGTCTGCTCGCACTTACTCTGAACAAGTCCATAGCCTTTTTCGGAGCTCTGAATTCAAACCGCTATTGCTCCTTGGTGTCGCTTGAGTCTCTTGTAACTCTCTCTTAGTGAGGACTGAGTAGATCTTTATGCCCTTTTCTTCGCCATGTCCATGAGCACATAATGAGTCACCTTGACCTCAGATTCTCTCTTCCCTAGGATTAGATCAATAAGGTCCTTCTTCTTCAAGTAAGGGCAGTACTTTAGACCAGCTACTGCTGCCATGATTCACAGTTCAACCAAACTCAAAGCCTTCGCTTCCGTTTTGCTCAAGCTTGTCATTTAAGTAGGTGCAAAAAAAAAGTGAATTTTGCAATAGGACCACCGCCAACCAACCTAACAAGTGCCGTGTTTAGATATGGTCAGAGAGAATCCATTCTGTCTCTTCTTGAAGTCAACTCTGAGATGTGGTAACAAGGGGTCTAGCCTTTTTCTGGTACTGTTTTTTTTATCTTATCTAAGAGATCGCAGTTGATTATGTAAATGTTGAATGAACTCAAGCGATTGATGACGTTTAGGGGTTTCAGACCTTGTTTAGCAAGGCCGAGAAGAGAAGGAAGATCATGATCGAAACGAACATTTCTATTGAATGGAATTTTTAATCATGATCGCACCATTTGCATTATCAAATTGAACATCCAGCCTGTTTTTGAAGTGCTTTTTTAAGCTCTTCTCCGATCGCTTTGAGTGTGTAATGACCCGAAGGAATTTTCCAATCCTTGCTTGCCTTGATCATCAGAGATTGAAATCTCTTAATCTTTCTTCAAATTTTACCAGGTGTCGTAGAATGTGAAACTTAGCAACCTGATGTACTGAAGCTTACCAGGAGGTTCTCTGAGGCGAACCGTGCAGTCATCTGAGGCTGCAATCAATGTGAGCACAACCATTTTATATTGTTCCAGAAATTAAAAAGATGCACAGAGAATTGCTGACAGAGCAAGAGCAAAAGCCTGGGCTGAATTCAGACCTGAGTAAGTTCAAGGAGCACGTCACCTTTTGCAGCCACACTTTACTTCAATCAGTCAGATGGAGTTCAGTTCAGCGTCTTAGGATCAGACAGAAGATGCTGGGGTAATGATATTAAGCAGGTAATGGGAACTGGAGGGTCCCAGTGTCAGCCTCTCTCCGAGTTAAGAGCCAGCCTCAAGTTCTTTTCTCTTGTGCTCAAGAGCGTCAATCTGCTCTTGATTCTATCTTACTCCTCGCTCGTCCTCTTGTTGCTAAGTCTTGGCTTCCATCTACGAACCTCTCATCCTCTTCGATGGACCTCTGCAGTTCCTCATTCTCCTTATCCTTCTGACTGATCAACACTTCACACTCTGAGCCAAGGATTGGTTTGAATCTCTTAATGAAACTTGCAAGTAGACCTCTTCCTTTCGTTTGATGATCCTTACAAGCTCTTCTCTCTGCCCAACATGTTTTGCCATGACCACTCTTTTATCCTCATTGAACGAAAATTGTATACCAGATTCCTTCATGTTCGAGAATTGGTTCCTCAACTCATCATTGCCACGAATGATTTCAATGCTGTTCTTTAACTTCGTAGATCAATTCCCTCCATGAAGGATGTCTCAGCCATCTTCGCCCCTTCCTCTCTCAACTCTCTGTTCAAAGTTGTCATTTCAAGTTGTTCACCTGATGGTCCTGGAGTTGAATTATGATCAGGTTGAAGAGGCCTTGTTGTATCTCCATTGTTTTCATCATTGTTGCCATCACTGTGGAGATCAGTATCTCCAATGTGAGCCATTTTGGGACTGCAGAAATGAAGTGTCCACCAAGGAAAATAGAGGCAGTCAGTGATCCGAGCAGTCTCACATTCAAGAGGAAGAGGTCAAACAATCTCAAATGAGATCGCTCGGTCCACAGAGTCACATTCAATTCGAACAGTAAATCTCCAGATGATGTCTGGATGGTTTCAGTTCCAAAGCTTCATGAAAGAGTAGTTCTTGTGCCAGGGTCTCTTGCACTCATCTTCAACCTCACAGTAAGCGGGCATGCAAACAATTACCACTTGAACAACGTGGTAAGAACTCTGGTCGACAGATTGTATGTCAAGTTCATAGGTAGGTTGTGCAGGACACAGACGGCTAAGATCAGTTGAAGCTCTATGGAGACCTCTTCTTGACTGAGAACGTGAGAGCAAGCGTGCTGAGGCAGTTTGCTGATCTTTCGAGGATTAGACACAGTGCAGAAGACAAAGACAGTACAGGTGTTTACTTGGAGAAGAAGCTCAATAAAGTGTATGGAAGCAAGTACAGGATTCCGATTGATCATGGCATTCTGAACAATCATGGAGCCTTCTACCCAAAGGGACTTTTAAATTTGCGCGTCTTCGAACTCAGACTTGTACCTGCCAGAAATGTCGTAAGGGGATGGGATCTAACAAAGCTTACCAATGAATTGACTAACGTCGAGCTTGAGTATGAGGTGATTAACAACCAATACCGTGACATGAAATTGCAGTAGTGGAAAGAGATTTATGTATGAGCATGCGAACCATCACAAGATGATCACAGTCAAAAGAGCAACTGATTCAATCATCAATGAGGGCATAAATGTTGCAAAGAGATCAATGAGAGGACTCCTCTTCTATAATTCACATCCAGCAGGGGCAAGAGACTCTAAGAAGATGTCCAATCCTGACATCACTGAAGTGAAAGTGGACGTGAATGGTATCCTGAACAAGGTTTTCAGCCAAGGGATGAAGAAAGGAGATATGTGCTAGGAGGTCTACAGAAGATTTGGAAAGGAGAGCAGTGCAATGAATGTAACAGACTTCTATGCCTGTGACATTGTCGGCCTCCTCGTCGATCCCAGGAGTATGAGGGAGAACGACTTTCTTGGTTCGTGGTTGAAACTGATGAATACGAAGGAAGGACTGTGGCTCAAGATTCACTGATCAACCTCAAGTTCTGGGAGTGTGAAATTCTTGATCTTCATCCTCACAGATGCCAACTTTGGTATTGAGGACCGAGAGCTTCAGATTGTGACTTACTAACTAAAATTAACCCAGACAATTCGCCCTTCAACCCTTTGATTGTTGGTCCCACCAATGCAGGGAGGATCAGGTTCTTAGTGAACCAGTTGAGTGGTCTCTTCAAAGGGGGGTTTGACTACATCTTACTCCTATGCCTGACCCTCATTCACAACAGAGCATATGAGGGGTTTGCAGGTGCTGAAAATGGGTTCCTCATCAGAGTCCCCCGACAAGACCAGACCAATGATTGATATAAGTTAGTTAGTTACGCACTTGAGGGGACTAGCACAAAAGGCCTGGATAGCAGTGAACATATTTAAGAAATATAAGACTTTTTTAAAACATGTTTTGACAGTTCTTCTGTCATCTTCAGTTCTGATTTATATAAAGTACCAAGTTGAATTTAAAGTTTATTACAAAAAGCTCATTGTTCAACACAAGAGGAAAAATGAACTCGTGAACTGGCTAAAGCGCATGACATAAGGGGATCTGCATTTGGGTTCTCACCCAGCAGATGATGAGCATCACGAAACCATTTAAAGAGAATATCTCTATCTTGGTTCTCTTCTATACACCGTCAGCTAAGACGTGAAGATCATACTTGAGAGCTACACAAGTGAGTTGACAAGGGACAAGAAGAAGAGTCTGATGGATGAGTTGAAGAGCATTGAATACTCACCCTTCGTCTTCTCACTCCACCATCTTTACAGCAACTGAAAATCTCGTCCTCAGCCATGTAAAATTGAAGTGATTGAACAAGATGCATAGAATGACTTCTTGGGGCAGTCTTGAAGCCAAACTCTTGAGTGATTCAGATCACCGAGAGCAGCTCGCTGTTCTCGTTGCACGTGGGAAGGTAAAGGAGATGATTTCAACACCTTTCTTCAGCTCCCGATGGACCTGAGTGACAACTTCTCGGTCAGGAGAGAGCTGGAGATTGTTGCTGATCGACTGAATTTGAAGTACGCAAAGTACATGACAATAGCAAGTGCTGTTCTTATCACTGCAAAGAACATCAGCTATCACCTGGCTGCTGTGGAGGAGCTGGATACCAGTCTTTGCGAGGAAGCAGACTAAGTTGTCGACTGAGTAGCTTAGCCATTGCTGTGAAGGAGGCAAGCTGGGAGGCTTGGAGGTTGTTTTGTGAAAAAAGCTGTAGTTTCTTTTGTTTTTCTACAAAAGACAGCAAGAAACGACCTGAACTTCTTGCAGAAGCGGGATGACTGGGACTCAGAGGCTATTTGAGACTCAGAAAGTGGAAGCTCCATGAGTTGATACAAAGAGCCCCTATCCTTGCCCTTCCAGTTCCAGACATCAACACTCCAATACTAAGAACGAGTGGGGATTTCAGGCGGAGGATTGAAAGAGGTGACTGAGATGAGCAAAGGAGAGAGATCAGAGCTATCAAAGAGACGCTTGGCCTGCGATAGAGAAGTGTCACTCTCACTCTAACAGATTGACAATTCAGATCATTATGTTCAGGGTCAAATGAGATGCCTCGAGAGTGACAGACAACTGCAGCTGTTAAACACAATAAAGGTGCCTGTTGGGGTGTTCATTGCTGTGCTGAGGTTGTGTCAAGCTGCCCCAGCTGATGAGCACTCTTTTTGTCTGTGGCGCTGTTTCCAGGTTTAGTCGATGGCAATTCTGAGACAGTGTTACAACCAACTTAAGACAATTTTTAAGTCTGCCTGGGACTGTCTGCTAGCGCGTTGAAAAGGTTTGCAAGGCAACTACAAATCGAGGGTGTTGGGTACAACCCCCAAGAGCTCATGGAAGTGGTAAGGCCTGAAGTCTTTAGGATAATGAGGGACAGCCATCATACAAAGGTCAAGATGATACTCCTTTGTGAGATGGTGAGCTGTTAATTGCTGTGTTGAGGTTGTGTCAAGCTGCCCTGGCTGATGAGTACTCTTTGTGTCAAGCTGTCTGTGGCATTGTTCCCAGCCCTCTCCCACAACTAGTCAAAGCTGGTCAAAACAGATCAAAACCCGTCAAAACCAGTCAAAACTGGTAGAACCCAAAGATTGTCTCATGCTGTATTTCGGGCTGTCCCAGACTGTCATTTACCCACTACTAAATGCATCTCTCGAACAACAGAGTACGAACAAAGAGGACAGTTTTAAGTGAGCAAGACCATATGTCTTAGTATATCTGTAATACTCCGTTTTTTGTATTAGATTTTTCTCTCTTGACTCTATATTATCAACTGATGCCTGAGCTTACAGATCAGAGCTCAAGGCTGCATTGCGAGTTAATTCTTTCTCAGGTTCTTTATCTTTTGAACTAGCTGCAAAGGGACAATGATGGATGCAACAACTTTATGTACTTTTAAGGAAAACGAGCGTGGGCTATTTAAGATTTTATAGCATTAAATTACCACTTTTTAGGCTCGTAAAAAACCGACTCAAATAAATTCCTTATTTAAACCATGTTGGTGACATGACTGCAGAGTTACTTTAGGGGGGAAATGAATATGATCTAAATAAAATAATCCACTTGAGAGACACCAGTTCTTCCTACGTTTCTTTCTCTTCACAGAAGGTTTTATGAGTGAGACCAAAAGCTTGTAGGAGTAATCAATTCCATTGAGAAGCTGACATTCTCATGCAGCAAAAGGACCAATGATGAAAATAAAGCCTTTGTGTAAAATTATAAAAGCATCATTCGGCTGAAAAAAGTTGACATCCCTCACCTTCAGAATCAGACTGTCCAGAGTCAGCTTCAAAAGATCCACAAGAGGAAGTCTTCGCATCAGCAAAGTAATCGGTCGAGGTGTCGCCCTTGTGGGATGGCATGCCCCTAAAATCTTCTTCATCTCCAGACTTAACTGTAGAAATAAAAGAGTTACATATTAGTGACACTTTGTGTTATTGTCTTAGAACGAATTTGAGCACATACATGTAAATGCATCGGAATAAGGTGTATTAGAGCAAAAATACCAGGTTTTCCATTGCATAATTACTAAACAGATGGCGCAGTTCTGTCAATTGAATCAATTACTGGTATATTTTGACCCGTGATAGCCAATGGGATCAGTGAGTATCTTAGAACCGTATTATAAGGATAAATCACCAATAACCTAAACAAGATCCACAAATTGACTTTGATCTAAGAGGCTCAGTCACCTCTCATGTGAATCACAATGTTGTCGAACCCATGGTTCTGATATTTGTCCATAACCATAAGATCTGTGGCAAGTAGTGAGCAGTGAGCAGCTCCCACGATATCTTGAGAAGCAGTCCAGCAGAAACTCGCAGGCGCACGCGGCCGTAGTGTCAAGCGTTCACGGTATGGATCGATTATGTGTATGCATGGTGTTCCATTTCCGCTAAAAATCAAAGATGCAATCGGACATCCAATTTTATCGAACAAAATTTGATTTTGTTATGTCAACGATAATCGTGCGCACTTCAACTCTTAATTTTTCGACTCAATGAGCAACATCGTCAATCATTTTTCATTCAGACACGGTTTGATGCTATTTTGGTTTACAGATTTAATGACTGTAACCGAAGAAGTTACAATTCATAGACCCAACGTTTCGATACCCCTATCATGTGCCTTCATCAGGGGTGATCTAAATGCTGCAACAAGAGGTCCTTTTAAATGATCCCTAATTAGCTGTCTTTTTTCTGACGAGGTGTAAATAGGCATCAGGAAGTAAGCCGCCATCGTTACGATTTAAAGGAGCGTGGGCGGAGTTAATATACCAAGCCTCCAAACAAAGGCACTGGTGGTAACGCCGATTAGTGGTGATAATTCTAGAATTATCCCACCCAATTGTATGGTTAGTTAGGCATGTGTGCTCCGATAAAGCTGAATTTTCCTTTTTGCAAAAGAAAACCGCTTTTTGATGCTCTTTCTAACGTGTACCAAACTGACGTTTGGTCTGTCTGATGTATTAGTTGTCACAGTCATTGCAAGGAATAGAATAAATGGCGTCGGTTCGTTGTTCTTTCGGGACAGGATCCTTAGGTTTGGGAAAAATATGACCCAAAGGCTGAAAAGGTTTTTAAACAACTTTATCGTTGTGGCTATTCAAAATTCTCTTGATGGGTTCCGTAACACCCTGAATGTGAGGAATAACAGCAAAACCGGTTGCTGGTTCCCTTACATCAGGAGCGCTACTTGTACAGCCATTTGCCTTTAGGACATTAGACACATATTTCCTCTCCTCAGCCTTCGAATCGAGTGAAGATGGAAGAGAGTCAGCCCTCCTGAGTAAAGTTTTGGCTACAGGCTTTTTATGGCAAATAGGGTGGTGAGAATCGAAAACGAGGTATTTGTCGATGTGGGTGGGTTTACGGTAGACACTTGTCTCTTAATTACCCTCAACCCCTCTGGACACATTTAAGTCAAGAAAGGGCAAATGTCTATCCATTTCACGCTCAAGGGTGAATTGGATAGACGGCTCTACTGAATTCAAATGCGATAGGAGGCGCTCCACCTCATTTCCGGATACCGCAGAAATAACATCATCGAGATATCCAGAAAAAGGGTTTAACGGGTGAAGTGGCCAAGGTCCTTTGTTCCACGTCTTCCATTACCATGCTGGCAATTACAGCAGAGACAGGGGAACCCATAGCTGTACCAAAAGTTGATAGTAGGTGTCGTTATATGCAAATTACGTGGTTTTGAGGCAAAAGGACAGCAGATGAATAATATCCTCCACAGGCAAAGAAGTTTTTTGTCCTAGGGAAGCATCTTTGAGTCTCTCCTCCGCAACCTTAACGGCAAAATAAACT